AACCCACCGGTGTTGGGATAGGGTCTCCTTGCTCCTTCCGCTAGGACCTCAGGAGGGTTTTTTGCTCCAGGGCAGTAACTGTGTCTAAAATGAGCCGTTATAATATCTCCCAATTCTCTTTTGAAAACGGGAGATACCTTGGCCATCGATTTTAAAGGGAGTAAGGCTAAACCAAGACTCTCCCTTTCGTTTCTGTACTAAGGGAAACTGAAGGTAGCTTGGTTTCCAGCTAGCCTGGAGAGAAAAGGGTTGTGCTCATGGTCCTTCCCACGTATCTGGATGGCACGCGATGGAGAGGAGTCACCCCCAGCGCAGGACTTACACATTTGTAAGCCAAAGTCTTCAGCTCCGTTTTAATCGAAGGAAAAAAAATGCATTTCTCTGTTTCTGTGCCTTTTCTACCCACCAGCTAGGGGAAACCTCCAGAGTGGGATTCATTTCACCCTCTTTTAGATTCAGCTCATATTAAGACCCAAATCTGAGTGTCTGTCGTTACCTATTTGTGAGCTAAGGTCTCGTTATAGCTAACGCGACTCTGGCCAATACAATCAGCAGAGTTTATTGATCTCTTCGGCTGATAAAACGTAGGTGTCTGCCTTGCAGTGAGCCACGCCGGACCCCACTGATGGACTTGACCAAATCTTCCCTGGTCATAAAGGGGGCCCAGGTACCCAGTCAACGTGTAGAGGTGACATGGTGTTTATTTAAAGTTAAGGAGAGAAGTCCTTCCCCTAAAGACATTTGAGGTGATTCCCAACTCTAATCACTAAGTATTTAAACAAGGGGATGTGGCTCCTACCCCTGCGATAGCAGTATTTGCTCAGCGCTCTGTTTAAAACAGATTTAACTAGAGTTAAGGCAGCGCCGCCTAAAAGCACAAGCCTGGCTGGCTCCAGCTGAACTCCGAGATGTAGCGTGTGCTTTCTGCAGGGGAGCCAGAGACAGGACCCCAAACACATAATAACTGCGGTGTTAAACCACTGTTTTGATTGCCTTATTTCTGCTTTCTCAAGTAAAATGAATTCCAGTTGGAAACTCACTTGCATCTAGAGTCCTGGAGCATTTAACATGACGCAGAGACAAGCTAAAACACCTTTCCGAGGATGTAGCTGTGGCAGCTCCCGCCCTTTCAGAGGAGAGGAGCTCCGAGGCAGTCGGCGGCTAATCAGCGTGAGTGCAAAATGAGATGCAAGATGCCAGCCCCGTCATTGCCCGTTCATCATGACCCGCCAGGAAAGGGGGTTGCAATGCTGGATGCTCCTTCTCCCCTCTGTAACTCCCCTCCTGGAGCCACGCGGGGTGTTTTGCACCACTCTCACAGTCAGATCCTAACCCCACAGAAGTCAGCGAGGGCCGTTAGGCACAGCTAACCGCTGGTTTCCCCAAACGCAGCAAGCACTGCTTGCACAACGAGCAAAATGCTTTCGGTTTTGAGAGTGGCAGGGGC